CCATGAAAACAGGACAGGCAGATCTGAAAACTATTACAAGAACTTTTCGAAACTAGCAAAATAAAGAGAGCCATTAACATTTACAATGTAAAGGGCAAGATGAACATCAGATGAACAGAGCTGGAGAGAGACTTAAGTGAATCAAAAAACATACTTAGAAAATATCCTAGGATGCAGTGAAGAATAACAATGCTGTTGTTAAGTGTAGTCAAGTCCATTCTGACTCATAGCAACCCCATTTATGGTTTCTCAGAAGAAGCTAGTTGATTTTAACTGCTGGCCTTGTGGTTAGCAGTCCATTGCTTATCCAGTACCACAAAAAACAATAGAAACTATAAAAGAGAGGTTATGACGCATGGGGTTGACCCTTGTGTGCTGCTGTAGGATAAGCACTGGACTGCTAACCATGCTAGCTGCAAGGATGGCAGTCCAAATTCATCAGTCACTCTCAGAAACACTATACAGGATCGCTGTGAGTTGGAACCAACTTGAAGGCACACAACAAAATATGACTCGTGGCAATCCTAGGCACAACAAAACTAAACACATCCCAGGCCTGTGCCATCCTCACAACTGTGGTTATGTTTGAGCCAATTGTTCTTGCCACTGGGTCAGTCCATCTTGATAGGGGTCTTTCTCTTTCCTGTTGACCCGTTATTTTACCAAGCATATGTTCTTCTCCAAGGATGCATTCCTTGTGACAACATGTCCAAAGAATGAGAGGCGAAGTCTTGCCATCCTTGCTTCTAAGGAGAATTTTGGCTGTGCTTCTTCCAAGACAGATCTGTTTGTTCTTCTGGCGGTCTGAGGTACTTTCAAAATTCTTTGCCAGCACCAGAATTCAAACACACTGACTCTCCTACAGTCTTTCTGATTCATTGTCCAGCTTTCACATGCATGTGAAAATTACCACACCTAGGAGTAGGTGCACCTCAGTACTCAAACAGTTATCGTAGCTTTTTTATACTTTAAAAAGGTCGTGTGCAGCAGATTTGCCTAGTGCAATATGCCATTTGATTTCTGGACTGCTGCTTCCATGAGTGTTGATTGTAGGTCTAGCAAAACAAAGTCTAGGGCAACTTCAAACTTTCTCCATTTACCATGATGTTATTTATTGTTCTAGTGTTGAGGATTTTCTTTTCTTTACATTGAGGTGCAATCCACACTGAAGGCTGTAGTCTTTGATCTTCAACAGTATTTAAATCCTCTTCACTTCCAACAAACTAGGTTATATCATCTGCATATGATACAATGGTTGTTCATGAGTCTTCCTCCAATCCTGATGCCACACTCTTCTCCATATAATCCAGTTTCTCAGATTATTTGCTCAGTGTACAGACTGAATACGTATGGTGAAAGGAAATAACCCTAGTGCATAGCTAGTGCATACCTTTCCTGATTTTAAACCGTTTAGTATCCCCTTGTTATGTTCTAACAACTGCCTCTTGGTCTGTGTATACGTTCCTCATGAGCACAATTAATTGTTCTGGAATAACCACTCTGTAATGTTACCCATCGTTTGTTGTGATCCACACACAAGAATGTTTTTGCCTAGTGAGCATCTTTCTGGTATTCTCCGCTTTCAACCAAGATCCATCTGATGGCAGCAGTAGTTCCACATTTTCTTCTGAATTCAGCTTGAATTTCTGGCAGCAATCATTTCTGAATTATGTTCTGCAAACTTTTACTTGCATGTGATAATAATATAGTTCAATGATTTGTGCTTTTCACTGGAATGGGCACAAATATGAATCTCTTCCAATTAGCAAAATTTCTTGGCAAAGACAAGTGAGGGCCTCCAGCATTGTATCAATTTGTAGAAACATTTCAATTTGTATTCCATCAATGCTTTGCTTTTTTGCCAATGTCTTCGGTGCAGCTTCCTTCAACACTACAGGTTCTTAATCATATTTGTTGTTGTTGTTGTTAAGTGTAGTAGAGTTGGTTCTAACTCTTAGTGATCTTGTATAGGATTTTTGAGGAGAACTGGTGGGTCTGAACCACTCACCTTGTGGTTAGCAGTCCAGAACTTATCCTACAGCATTACACTTCTTGAAATGGTTGAGCCATCGACCAATTTTTTTTGGTACAGTGACTCTATGTATTCTTCTCATCTTCTTTTGATGCTTTGTGTATCATCCAATATTTTGCCCATAGAATAATTCAGTACTGCAAGTTTAGAGTTGAATTTTTCCTTAAGATCTTGCAGCTTTAGAAATGCTGGGCATGTTCTTCCTTTTTGGTTTTCTAACTCCAGGTCTTTGCACATTTCATTATAATATTTGACTTAATCTTGTCCAGTTGCCCTTTGAAATTTCCTGTTCAGCATTTTATTTAATTACTTTTTCCAGTAGCTTTAGCTTCTCTATATTCAAGAGCAAGTTTCAGAGTCTCTTCTGACATCTATATTGGTCTTTCATTTCTTTCCTATCTTTTAAATGACATTTTGTTTTCTTCATGTCATCCCACAATTCTTCTGGTCTTTGGTCATTAGTATCTAATGCATAAAATTTGTTCTTGAGATGGTCTCTAAACTCAATTGGGATATCACTGTGTGTCGGAACTGACTCCATGGCACATAACAACATCAACAACACTCAAGGTCTTATTTTGCCTTTCATGTACTTGTTTTTATTTTCTTCAGCTTCAGCCTGAATTTGCATATCAGCAATTACTGGTCTGTTCCCCATCTGGCCAATGGCCTTGTTTAGAATGACACTATTGAGCTTCTCCATGGTCTTTTCCCACAGAATATGCCATTTTGGTTCCTGTGTATTCCATCTGGTAGGGTCCAAGTGTATAGTCACTATTTATGTTATTGGTAGAAAATATTTTCAATGAATAAGTCATTGATCTTGCAAAATTCTATCATGTGATATCCATCATTGTTTCTATCACCAAGGCCATATTTTCCAATTACCAATACTACTTGTTTGTTTCCACCCTTCACATTCCAATCGTCAGTAATGATCAACATATTTGATTACATGTTTGATTAATTTCTGAAGAAGTTGGTTGAATTCTTCAATTACATCATCATTGACTTTAGTAGTTGGTGTCTAAATCTGAATAATATTTGTTTTATCTGGTATTCCTTGTAAGCATGTGGATATTATTCTATCACCAACAGCACTGTACGTCCAGATAACTCTTGAAATGTTCTTTCTGAAGATGAATTTATTATTCCCAGCATAGTGAAACCATATGTTTGTCAGATTCAAAATGGCTAATACCAGTCATTTCAGCTCACTAATGCCAAGTATATCAATCTTTATGCTTTCCATTTTATTTTTTACAACTTCCAATTTTCTTAGATTCATACTTCACTCATTTCTGTGTTTGATTATTAAAGGACATTTGCAGCTGTTTCTTTCTGTTTTGAATTGTGCCACACCAGCAAATGAAGGTCCTGAAAGCTTTGCTCCATTCAAATCAAGGTCAACTCTAGTCTGAGGATGCAGCTTTTCCCCAGTTGTATTTTCAGTGCCTTCCAACCTGAGGGGCTCATCTTCCAGCACTATCTCTGACAATGTTGCACTCCTACTTCTGAGGTTTTTAGTGACTAACATTCAGAAATGGTCTGCCTCTCCATCTTAATCTGTCTTAGTCTGAAAGCTCCACTGAAATCTATTCACCATGGGTGACCCTGGTGGTATTTAAAATATCAGTGATTCAGCTTCCAGCAACAACACATAAGCCACCACAGACAAACTCATAGACAATTGGTGGGGTCAATGCATAGGTGTCTGTTATTTCCTTGACTTAGTTACATGAGTATTTTGAACTTTTCCAACTTAAAAAAAAAAAAAAAATTAAAGAAAAGGAAATTCAACACCATGTTTATAAATATTATAAAGTCCTTACACATTTCACCCTACCATAGGACACGTTACTAAGAACCAGAGGTACAATGTCAATGAAGTCTAAGAATTGGGAAACTTTCCTTCTGTGAAGGAAAGTAGTGTGATGAAAACTGATGACTCATGGAAGCAACTAGTCCAATGGAACAATGGACCACACAAACATCAGTCTCCACAATGCAGAGACCAGAACTAGATGGTGCCCATCTACCACTATCAACTGCCCTGAATGGGATCACATTAGAAGGTCCTGGATAGAGTGGGAGAAAATGTGGAACAAAACTCAAAATCACAAAAAAATGACCAGACTTACTGGTCAGATAGGGACTGATGAAACCCTGAACTTGTAGCCCTGGGTCATACCTTTAGGTCTAGAATTGAACTCACTCCTGTGGCTCAATTTTCAGGCAAGCAATAGATTGGTATACAGGTGGGATAACAGCACTAGTGAGGTGCACACACCATAGAATGATCAACCTTCAGGTTAAAAGGGGCAGCAGTTACCCAAGGACAAAGTTCAGAAGGGTTGGGAAGGAAGGAAGAATGAAAATAAGAAGCACAGGGAACAGGAGAGAAGTGGAATAAATGATGTTAAATTGAGGAACTGCAATCATTAGGATGAAATTAAATGTATGAGATGTCTCTCAGCACTATGGGCTTGTTACATTCTTTTTCTTTCCCCTTCACAAGCATCCAGGGAATCAAATGAGGGTGTAGGGTAACCTCAAGAAAGATGGATGAATGTTCAAATACTAAGAACAGTTATGATTAATCCTCCATGAAAATCATCATGTTTATGCTTTGACCTTCATCATGCCAAGCTCCACTGAAGGCACCACTCACAAGTGTCTGCAGGCAGTGGAGCTTGGATCTTCCAGATGGTAAAGCAGAGAATGAGATGAAGAGGGAAGTCACACTCCTTCCTCAATAAGCCAGTGCTTGAATATCTGTTCCATGTCTCTACACACTTCAGTATGTTTGACCTTCAGACAAGTTGGGTGGTAATACTAAACAATAAAAGCCAAGGGAACTTTCTGGTGGGAGCGGAATGGCCCAGAGTGGAATGTCATTGCCCTAAGAGTGCCCCATTAACTTTGTAAGCTGTCCACTCATTTCTTCTGCTGCTGGGAGGCCACTCACCGAAGTTGCTCAAGGAGTACTGGTAAGGCTCCGAGAGGAAGTGTGGAAGGGTGAGGAAGAAGGCACCTGTAGCTAGGAGAAGGCCCCCGATGCCGATAAGTCGAGGACGATGCACCCGGCTGCCAAAGTAGCTGACAAAGATAATGAGAATGGCATTGCTGATCTGTGGAGAGAGCAGAGGGCCTGAGTGAGAGCAGAAATCCCATCTTCACCCACATACAGAGTAAATCAGTCTATACTCCATTCAGGAAAACCAGCGAGGTTAGCGGGTGCCCAGTGTCAGCTGCGGCCTGGGCAAAGTTGCATTGTCAGACTTGCCCAGAGAGCCTCCAACATGTAATCTCAGCTTTCCCTCCACTGTCAGAAGTCCTTAGTGGCCTCAGCCTATGAGACCAGACATGGTAAGTACCAGGAGATGATGAAAAACTCATAACCTAAGTTTCAACCATTTTAGGGCCAAACCATTTGAGGCAAAAACCAAGAAACCTTGGATCCTGGCTGGCACTTGGAACAGTACATGTTTCCTCATTAAACTCTGTAAAGACTCTGGTTGGTAGTCAGAATAATAATCAAGCAACATTTACTACCTCATTTAATCATACATTATCTCTCAATTTCCAGATGACAAAACTGGAGCTCAGAATATTAAATAGTTTGCCAACATCCATGAGGTTAGAAAGCAGTCAGTCCAAGAGCTGAGCACAGCATGGCTGGCCTGACTTTAAAGCTCTGAGTCTTAAAACAGTCTACTGCCTCTTGTGTGGCACTGTACGATAAGCACTCAACCTCAAGGTTGGTTTGAACCACAAAGTTGATGGTTTAAATTCACCAGCTTTTCCTCAGAAACCCCATACAGGGTCGCTATGAGTCAGAACTGATTTGATGGCACTTAACAACTGCCTCTTGGGAGAAGTGGGTCTCTGGCCCAGTTCTGTGGCTAACATGTTCCTGTCCCTCCCTGGGCCTGTTTCCACTTCTGTAAAATGAGCAATGAGCGCTACACAATCTGTGTCTCTACGTTCCTGTTGTTCCCTGGTGCTCTCCTAAGCTCCAGTCAGAATCGCGGAAGGGAACAGAAGACTCAGCTTGATGAGCAAGGTCTTAAATGATCAAGGAGCTGCAGGCAGGCTTCTAATCATGTCACTGTCCAAGGAGATGATACTCTGACCCAGAACGCAAGTTCATCTGGACTAATGGACGCTTGTATGGTAAATAGCTATAGTCCCTGCCCTGTCCACACCAGTCTCCTGTCAGCTGGAGAGCGGGAGCCTCTGTCTCAGCAAACAGAGGCTTGAGTTTTGGTAGATGGCTCTTGTCAAAGGTCATCAATGACTTACTTATTATTAAATCGCTAGTAAATAGTCAATTCTCTTACTTGAAGGAGACTTGGTGGTATGATGGGTTAAGGATTGAGCTGGTTGATTAAGCCGAGTAGAACTGTTCCCTAGGGTTTCTTTTGCTGCAAATCTTATGCCTGTACCATATTTCTTCTAAGGAGTGCTTGGGGGTTTTGAACTGCCCACCCTGTGGTTAGCAGTCCAACAGGTAACCTACTGTGCCAGCAAGGTTCCTTTGATCTCTTATTGTTCTTGAAAGAGCATAATGCTGAAGGCAGTTCTTTTTACTACATAAGCTAAAACTGTTGTGTAGTTTTGAAGTCATGGTATAATGTAGGATAGGCCCTGGACCACAAGATCCGTTAGAACTGCAAGGTCAGCAATTCAAATCCAATTACTGCTCCTCAGAAACCCTATAAAGGGTCGTTATGAGTTGGAACCAACTCCACGGCACTAAACAACAACAAGAACATTGCTTAGTTTTAAGATGACTTCAAGAATGTTTTTGGTTTTAGGGCAATAGTTTCAGGGGTTTATCCAATGTCTCTGAGTCTAGAAAGTCTGGAGTCAATGAGAATTTGAAATTCTGCTCTGCAATTTCTCCCTTTTGTTGAGGATTCTGCTATGGAATCTTTGATCAAAATGTTCAGTAACGGTGACTGGGCACCACCCAGTTCTCATGGCAAAGGAGGCAGTTGTTCATAGGAGCAATCACGCACACATTTTATACCGTACACCTGTACTCCTGACTCTGTTCCTCTATTGCTCCAGGTGAATGGAGACCAATTGTTGTGCCTCGGATGGCTACTTGCAAGCTTTTAGACACCAGGCATTGCACAACTAACTAAGATGAAGAATTGAAGCACTAAACAAATCACTAGGTCAATTAACTGAGACCCGAAATCTCCAAACCAAGTAACCAAATCCCGAGGCATTTGGTTTTACCTAAGCAACCCAGCAACTACTTTTTCTTTTTCTTTTTTGTCATTGTTGTAAATATATCTATCATACAATTTTTGCCATATCAACTGCTACAAGTCTACAACTTGCAACAATTATATTAATTGACTGTGAAACCCTATCCTTAATTAATGAAAATTTCCATCACCATTAACATTCCTGGTAAACACCAAAGAACTTTGGTCTCTATACATTTGCCTTTTCTTGTCTTTTTGTTTAGGTGAGGTCATACAATATTTGTTTCTTGTGTGATTGGCTTATGTATCTCAAGCATAATGTATTCAAACTCCATCCATACTGCAGCTATGCATCAAGACTTCATTTCTCCTATTGGCTGAGTAGTATTCCATTGTATGTATGGACCACATTTTGTTTATCCATTCATCTGTTAATGGACATTAACGTTGTTACCACCTTTTGGTTATTGTGAATAGTGCAGCAATGAATAATAGTGTACAAGTCTCTGAGCCTCTGCTTTCAAGTCTTTTAGGTATATACCCAGGAGTTGAATTGCTGGGTCATAACGAGCTCTGGGTTAATGAGCCAGACTGCAAAGTCATTTGAACTGCAAGGTCAGTGGTTCAAGCTCACCAGCTTCTCCTTGGAAACCCTATACAGGGTCGCTATGGGTCAGAACTGACTCGACGGCACTTAACAACAACAACAAGAATAAGCTCTGATAGTATAGTGGTTACAAGTAGGACTTGTAATCTCATAGATCATCAGTTTGAAACTTACCGGTAGTTCACTGGGATAAAGATAAGGCTGTCTGTTCCTGTAAAGATATACAGCGCCAGGAACCCTGTGCAGGGTCAGTATGAATAGGAACTGACTTCACAGCACACCGCCATGATAGTTCTAGTTTTAGTTTAATGAGGAACCAATGCATCCCCCCCCCCCACAATAACTGTACCATTTTGCATTGCCACCAGCAATGGATTGTGATGTTAAGTGCTGTCGAGTCAGTTTCAACTCATAGCAACCCTGTCTAGGGCTCCTATGGAAAGGGTTCCAATTTCTCCACAGCCTCACCAACATTTGCTATTTTCTGATTTTTCAATTTAGCAATCCTAGTGATAGTGAAATAGGGTGAGCAGTGTGACTTTGATTTTGCATCTCTTTTTGTTCTTTTTTTAGGGTTTTTATTGTGGATTGAGTGAAAGTTTACGGGGCAGATCATCAGTTTTACATTCAACAAAGTCATACACCTTTTTTCATTACCATGATTATAATCCCCTCCATGTACCATCAGTTAACAGTATTTCTCTATTCACTTTAGCTCTTTTTTAAAAACAACAACCACTCAGGCATATATATAATAATTTATAGCTCCAAAGGGCACATTCTACAAGTCTACCTCCTGGTCATTATTTCTTAGTCCCACTCTTCCCATGAATCTAGAGTCCTCAGCTGCTTCCTCTCTCCATGTCCCCATCACTGCCTCCATCTCTGGTATGGCTGCTTCTCTGGATAAAGTCTCGTATTCCGCTTGTGCTCTTCTCCCTTGATGGTACTAGGGTCCTTTGTTTTTGGACTATAAAATTAATCACTACCCTGTTTTTGTTACAAAACTTCTACCTTTACAATTGTGACAGCTGCAATTAGTCTTGATAACAATTATTCACTTTGAATCATAAGAATCTTCTCCCCATCTCTTTTAACCAGACCCGTGATTTGCATCTCTTTTAAGGCTAATGATGCTGAGCATCTTTGCATGTGTTTGGTGGCAATTTCAATGTCTTCTTTGATGACATGTCTACTTGAGTTCTTTGCCCATTCTATCATTGAATTATTTGTCTTTTTGCTGTTAAGTTGTTGATGTTTAATATGTATTTTGGTTATTAAACTCTTGTCAGATATATGGTTTCTGAATATATCATCTCAGTAACTTGTCTTCTTATTTCTTGATGGACAAAGATTTCTAATTTTATGAGGTTTTATTTACTTATTTTACTGTTTGTGCTTTTGTTATTATATTAGATAATCCATTGTTGAAAGCTAGGCCTGACTGCATTGTCTCAGCTATACTTCTGAGAATATTATTTTTTAATTTGCATGTTTGGGGCCCTAATATGTTTGAATTTTTTCTTTTTATGCTGTGGGGCATGAATCTTGTTTCATTTTTCTGCATATGGAAATCTAATTTTCCTAGCACCATTTCTTGAAGAGACTCTTTTTCCCCATCAAATGGACTTAGCAACCTTGTCAAAAATCAGTTGACCATAGATGTATGGGGTTTATTTCTAGGTTCTTAATTTTATTCCATATGTCTATATGAATATTCCATCAGGGAGTCCTGGTGTGGCTCCCTGGTGGAAACTGCAAAGTCAGTTTGAACCAAAAGTTTGGTGATTCAAACTCACCTGCTGCTCCTTGGAAACTCTGTACAGGGTCGCTGGGTCAGAACCAACTCAACAGCACTCAACAACAACAACATATTCCACCACACATCTGTCAGTTTGTCATAATGTGGTGGCTTGCATGCTGCTTTGATACTGACAACTATGCTACCACTATTTTAAATAGAAGCAGGTTCACCCATGGTGGACAGGCTTTAGCTGAACTTCCAGACTAAGACAGACTAGGAAGGAGAGTCAGACGACTTCAAATTACGACTGAGGAAGAGCTGCCTTCTCAATGTAGAGTTGACCATGTTGATGTGATAGGAGGAAAGTTGTGATGGGGTGCAACTCAAAATGAGGAGAAACAGCTACCAACATCCATTAATATGGAATGTACGGAGTATAAATCTAAGAAAATTGGAAGTTGTCAAATGACATGAAATACATAGAGATCAATATCCTAGGCATTAGTGAGCTGAAATGAACTGATAATGGCCATTTTGAACCTGAAAATCACATGATTT